GGTCTTGCCTTAGATGACGAGTGTGACCCGAAATGATGCGATGCCTAGATATCTGCCAACCTTTACATAAGACATCAGTATTCAGTATCATTGAAATAATCTCTGCTACTAAGTTGGTACCTGGAATAGCAACTGCCACAAGACACACACTCCAATCTCACCGGCCCCAATTTCGGGCTGGGGTTAAGGTGGCGAGTCTTTGTTCGTGCCACCCGAAGCAGGTTGAGGGTTGAGGGTTTAGGGGAAGCTGCGCTGTCACCAAACGGCAACCCATCTTCCTGGCTCCCTTTTTTAGCCCTAAACCCTAAACCCTAAACCCTAAACCCGAAGCCCTAAACCCTAAACCCTAAACCCTAAACCCTAAACCCGAAACCCTACGCTTGAAGGCCTGGAAAGGCCGAGCTGCCCAGGTTCGATTTGTGGGCCCATCGGGTGGCCGCTTCCTCAGCAGTACTCGGGACCCCACACAAGGGTGTATACAAGAGTTTAGGGTTTAGGGTTTAGGGTTTAGGGTTTAGGGTTTAGGGTTGGGGTTGATGCTTTAGGCTTTAGGGGGCTTTCCATGTAAGCTTTTGGAGAAGGTAGCATGTTGCATCAATCCCCGGCCGCTTTGCTTGCTTGCTCAAACGGTCGTAACAGTGCACCGGAACTCTTACAAAGCCATGCATCGGTTCCCGTACAGGGGGCGATATGGTTTCCGGAAATCTTGGACCACAAGCCATACTTCTGGTGCATGAAGACAAGGCTTTGTGATGCTCCTCTTTTGGCCCCAAACCGGAACCCGCGCACTTCCTTGCCGGCCAGGCTTCTTCTCGCCAGCATTTTCGCTCTGCGCTCGTGCCTGCACGGAGTTCATTCTTTGGCTGTTGCAAGGGGGGGGAGGGGGAATCAGGGGTGGGGGGAGAAGAGGGGTCGAATTATTCATTCATTCTGCTAGAAGCCTCTAAAGACAAAACTTTCCTAAAGGGTGTTGGGAAGAATGCTTCCGGCAACCTGGTGCGCAAGGAGGGGACTACCGGACCTCAGAAGCAAACCGAACACCAGCAAGCTGACATGGTGATTTCTCTACATTATGGTCCTTTTAGAGGGTTCCTTCTTATAAGGGCGGCCCCTCTTAATTCAGGGTACCCCAAAAAAGGCACCACCAGGTAGAGACCTGACCACATGCTGGCCTTCTCGCGCAAAGCATCGGCCCCGGCGTTGTTGCCCGAGCGTTTGCCAAAGATATCCGAGGCCCGGAACATGGCTTCTCTGGGGGTTCAATGCCTTAAGGACCTTAAGGTTGTACCCTTTTGGGTTTTGGGAGTCCCTAAGGATCCTTATAAGGGAATCTAAGGGCCATGTGTACCCTTTTGGGTTTTGGGGGCCCCTCTTCAAAGACCCCTAAGGGAATATAAGGGCCATAGGCTAGCCGAGCAATCCCTCAGACTAAGGGTTGTGCCTACGCGCCTTAGCTGCGAAACAGCTCCACGAGCTTGCCTGAATGTTCATTTTTTAAAGAGCCGCTTGGTCACGTCGCCCAACACTATACACAACTTCGGATTTTCTCGGTGGGGCCTAGTGCTTCTGAAGTCTCTGCTGTGGCTGCTTGGCCATATACCTTTTGCATGCGCTTGCTCGCAAGCCCACAAGAGAACCAGCCGTTCCGCTCTGACATGGTCCCTCTTTTGCACCCTATCTCCCAAATCTTAGCTCGCATGTCCTACTACAGCAGAGGGTAAGAGTTGGGGGGGGGTCACTGTTCTGGTGTCAAACAGCCTTGAAACCAAGTTCGGGTTGAAGGCTGAAGTTTGGGGGGCGTGACAGAGAACCACAGGGTTTCGGGCTCGGGGTACACCGGGTATACCTTCAAACCACCGAATCCCAAGGGTCAGCAAGGCCACGAGATGCTCCGAACCCAAGGGATACACACATCTAAGAAAAAATCTCTACGGCAACTGATGAGCCCCTGAAGCCGGATGGGGGTTTTGGTTTAGGGCTTAAAGGGCTTGGGGGCCAGGAAAAACCGGGAGTGTCTTTGCATATTCAACAAACCTCTTCTGGGGGTTCCTGTATATTATGGAGGATCATGACATGTTGGGGTAGTTGGGATCTTTTACCCCCCTTCTTGAAAACGCCCTCGAAGCCCCCCGAAGCCACGAGCCCCCTGGGAGCGTGCCCGCACAGCAGGTGGAAGAGATGGATTCGAGCAGGTGTCGAAACCTGTGCTGCGGCCCATCATCGCCTTAAGCATCCAAAACCTTATCTTTCCTAAGCCCAAACCATGTTTCCTCAAGAATTTACCAAACTTACCGGCAAAACCAGGCTTCGGGGGTCTTCCGGCAGGCTTACGCAAAATCAAGGCTTCTCGTGCCTTAGGTCCCTGTTTCGGCACTATGCCCACCAGGGTTCATCTTAAGGGTGTGAGTTGAAGATGGGTGCTTATCCCATACCATGGGCGTATGTGGTCTATCGGATCTGTGCTCTGTCCGCACATGCACAGGGGGTTCCGAGACACCTGAAGCTGTAGTCTCTTTTATCTCGTGAAGCTTAGATTAACTTGGGGGTATACAAGGGGGCGGGGGCACCTGCTATCTTCGTGCTGTTTCTGGTCAGTTTCGATGGTGAACTGAGGCTGTCAGACAGTCCGCGCCCCAAAACGCGCGCAGGGCCCAGAATAGCCCAAAGTACATGCCCAGGCCCCAGACAGCCCAAAGCGGGCAATCTTCTTTTCAACCTCATTGTCTTTTCTAGAAAAGAGACGGCAAGGCTAACAAAAGAGATGCCCAGCCCAAAGTGCGAACCCTGAATTATTGGCGACGGCCCCGACAGCTTGCACTTCTTTCTGCAACCCGTCTAGCATGCAGCCTACACTTTAGGGCTTGGGGTTGGCATTTCGGCTCCGATGCTCGAGAGGGGCCAAGTTTGCCTGGCTTTATGAAGAAGGAAGATAAACCCCCAACTAACCCCTAGCCCTAAACCCTAAACCCTAAACCCTAAACCCTAAACCCTAAACCCTTTAAACCCGTGTAGGTTAAAGCTCAAGGGCCCACGAGCCTTCAAAGACCAAGCCGTCAAACTCCTAGGCGGAGTGGCTGAGGCTCTGGCAGGACCAAGGTTAAACCAAGGGAGAGGTTTAGGGTTTTTGCCTAGAGTTCAGGGTTTAGGGTTTAGGGTTTGGGGTTTGGGGTTGAGGATTTATAGGGTTTAGGAGGCCTTAGGCTTGGCGTACGATTTTTCACTGGTTTTAACGGCACCTGCCCTTTTGGAGCGACCTTTCTTTCTTGGAGCGGCGTATGGTTTGGCCTTGGGGCTTAAAGCGTGGACCTTCATGTCCCCCGACTCGAACTGAGCATTCCAAGCCCCAACTCTAAACCCCGAAGCCCTAAACCCTAAGCCCTAAACTCTAAACCCTAAACCCTAATGAGGCATCTTTCTGACAAATGTTGGGATGTTGGACTTGGCCAACGTGCCCGGGACAAGCAGAAGAGCTTGGACCCCCCCCTCCCCATCCCTGAGCCCAAAGAGGCCCAGCCAGCTCCTTGCAGGTTCACGGGTTACATAGAGAAACACACACACATACACATATTGTATGTGTGTGTGTATATATACATGTATATATATATACACATCTGTATACATACCGTCGCCCCTAGACCATCTGAAGCCAGAACCCCAAACTTCAAAACGCCCAATGCCCGCTCTTGCGGGCACAGGCGCCAGCTTGACGCCGCTGCGGAAAGTATACTTCGAGGGCACAACCTTGGTTTAGGGTTTAAGGTTTAGGGCAAGGGTTTTGGGGTGTAGAGGGTTTCGGTGTTAGGGTATCGCTAGGGTCTAGGGTTTGGCTTTCGGGTGGTGAGCCTTCAGTGCCTTCATTGTTGGGGCTTCACACATGCGTTCCAGATAGAATTAAGACTGTTGGCATTCTTCTTGTCAAACCCCTTACCCATCCTTTTTGCCGCTTTCAGGGACCTCCCTCCACCTCCCCCCTCCCAAAGCCGCGAGCCAAAAGACCTGCCTGCTGGAGCAACTCGTCTTTGGGCAACTATGCTGAGAAAGCTCTAAGATACCTGTATCGCAGCAAGTCTAATTAAGGTTGAGGATGCTCCCTTTTCTGGACCTGAGACACAGGACAACACAGCCAGCGCCAAGCCTTTCTGGAGCTGATTGCTGCACTCTGCACCGAGTGCAAGCAAATTACGTTGTCCGTGCTCCGTTGCTCCCTGCCTCTTGAGAGTCGAGAGGCACCGCGGGCTCTGCTTCAGCATGAGACGCGATGAGTTGAAGCTCTGGTATCGACGTCATCAGCCATACTTCCCATCGACTTGTATACGTCAGTATATGCTATTGGCCTTTGTGTTCCCCTTCTCACCTTTGATGTTGGCTTTCGAAATCTGAGTTACCGTTGGGAAAACAGCTGGATTGTTTCCCTAAACCCCGAAACCCCGAAACCCCGAGACCCCGAAACCCCTAAACCCTAAACCCCCTAAACCCTAAACCCCTAAACCCCAAAGCCCTAAACCCATCCCCGGAAACGCGGCTGAGGGGAACTTCAGGATGAAAGCGGAGCTGTGCCTAGGCCCCTGAGATGAGCAAAGCGTACATGCATGTTCCAAGATAGCTCTTCCTTCCGTGGCAGTCTGGGCATCTGTACCCAGAGCGCCCAATACCCCTGAATTAAGGAATATACCTTAAATTATAAAGGGATCCTTAGTATGATTTAAGGAAGATTCCTTAATTCAAGGAAACATTGCACTCGGTCAGTCCTCATTTGCGCATCCCGGCTCTGTCTCCTTTTAGGAGCCCTCCATTTCGGGGTTGCGGCGTCCCATCGGTTATAATCGCTGAATTGGTCAACTGCAACTGGCTCTGGCCCGAACCCCCAAGCCTCCAAAACCTGCCCTGAATCCCGAAACCCTGAAAAAAATCAGCCCTAAGTCCTGAAAAAAAATCAGCCCTAAGTCCTAAACCCTGTTTGCTCCTCCTTCTTTTACCCCGTGAACCCCAAAATCGGAACCTCAGGGCCTGGCGTAGAAAAGCCACCGCAGCATCCAGGGAACCTACCGTGGCCGGACTTTCGGGTTGGGCTGACATGGGGGTTGGACGCACTTTAGCGACGTGAATTAGAATAATTAGGGCTTTTGGGGGTTCTTATAATACAGTTATACAAAGGGACCCTCGGGGAATACTATTAGTAATTCTTCCGACCCCTATATTAGGGCTTCTTGCAAAGACGCCTCGGGAACTTTGACCTCCGAGGACGACCGCAAATCTCCTTACAGACCTTCGTACGGGGGCTCGGGCCACTGCCTGACGTTTCTTCTGAATTCCCCAGAAAGAGTTTCTGGAGTGAGTCCGCCTGAGTCCCAACCCTGAGTGCTAAATCGCAGAAGCCCACACAAGATCTTCAGAGAGTCCCTACAGCAGCGCCCACAACCCTGGAATATCCCCACGAGTCCTGTATCCCAGAGAGTCAATGGAGTGCCCAACCCCGGCGTGAGCTCGCAAATTCATTGCCGAGGGTGGGGATGTTCGAAGTAAAAGAATTGGAGGTGTTTCTGTTTGCCTGCGGCTTCCCTGCTATCAATCCCCTCACCTGGTAAAGCACGCTTGCACAGCTTCAAAATTAACAACAAAGCAGGCGGGTTGGGGAGGGGGGGGGGGGGGGGGGGGCGGGAGCAGCCATCCCGCGTGAAGGGTTTGGAAGCGTATGCGCATGTTTTCTTAACGCAAGTCCTCTCACAAAAGCACACACTCCAAAACAAAACCGGCGGTCCCGTTCCCCTCTAATCCCGCAGAAAAAAAGGCTGAAGAAGGCTTGGGATTGGTTTTTTTCGGCCACCCGGGTTCAGAGACGTGTCCAAAATAAACAGGGACTATATGGAAGATGAGAACAGGTTTAGGGCTTAGGGTTTAGGGTTCAGGGTTAAGGGTTCAGGATTGCCTCGGACTGGTGCGCCAGCAACGTGCCATTGAAGATCATGTTCAAGATCCTGCAGCACTGAAACACTTGTTTTCTGCCCACATGCCATGCAACCCTAAACCCTAAACCCTAAACCCTTACGGGTTGAGGGTTGTGGGTTTGGCTCAATGTCCCGGAAGCTGTTCTTAGGGTTTAGGGCTCACGTAACTTCCCTCTCCCCTCCTGTCCATCAAAAGCATCCCCAGGCTTCTCAAGACCTCAAACCCTACCTTTTCTGCATCGCCGGTTGAGGAGGTTAGGAGTTAGTTCCGGGGTTAGGGTTTAGGGTTGGGGGTTTAGGGCTTAGGGCTGGGGATTTCGAGTTTGGTTTACAGTTTAGGGTCTGGGGCATACCCCCTTGAACCCCACTCCCTTGGAGACCCTAGAAACTGATGTCCTGCAAGAAGAGTTCGGGTCTGAGGAAACGAAGCCCCAGCAACCCTGAATCCTAAGGCTGGAGGGTTTTCGGTTTTCGGGTTTGAGGGTTGAGGGGTTTGCTTGCGAGAAACACCTCTAGCTGGACTTCAACATGTGATCGTGGACCCACCCTAAACGTTGCAAAAGCAATACGCCAAGCTCCATCCCACTCCCTAAGCCTGGGAGGTTCGCAAAAAAGCCACAGTCCCTGGTAGGGATTGTAGTGCCCCTACTCTCATACCGAGAAAGGACTGCTAGCATAAGGGGAACATCCCAACCCTAAACCCTAGCGCCAGCCAACGTGTCGAATCCGCGAGAACTCGAACACCCAAGACACCGCAAAACACCCCCAAAACACCCCCAAACCCCCACAAAAACACCCCAAAAACAACCCCAAACACACACCCACAAAAAACCCGAGAAAAAACACCACCCCCCCCCCCCCCCCCCCCCCAAAAAAAAAAAAAAAAAAACACACGCCAAGGCCCTTGAAACCGAAGAAACGCCCGGGGCTCCCAGCGTCTGCATCAGGAAGACCATGATGCCCAGGGGGCTCCCTGTTCCCAAGCTGCCTCTCAGGGGTTGTACAGGGTTTGGGCTGTCTAGGGTTTAGTGTCTAGGGTCTAGGGTCTAGGGTTTAGGGTTTAGGGTCTAGGGTCTAGGGTTTAGGGTTTAGGGTCTACAGGGTTTAGGGTTTAGGGTGTAGGGGCTGTCGTTTCTACTTCCCGCATAGCTGGGAACCGCATCCCGGGTTCAGGGCCTAGGTCTTTAGGGTTAAGGGTTGAGGGTTTAGGGTTTGTCCGATGCGGCTTGGAACTTCACTTCTCATTGCTTTTGGGGTGAGGGCTTTAGGTCTTCTGGGGCTTCCAGGGCTTTAGCCATTTTCGGGTTGAGGAATTGCTGCTTCTCATGCTGCTCAAGACATGCCTAGAAACCCGAAGAACGCTCGCAGACCCTTCAGCTGAAGTTGGGCGGGGCATCAGCAAAACCCTAGACCCTGCGCAAACCCTAAACCCTAATTGAACCCTAAACCTAATTAAACCCTAAACCCAAAACCCCATTGTCCATTGTCAACCACCAACGGCAGCTTGAAATCCTAATTGACTTCTCTAATTTTCAAACAGACCTCGCAGCGTTCTCTTGACGAGCGTTTTGCCTGATACTTCTGAGCCTCTTCTCTCTCTCTCTCTCTCTCTCTCTCTCTCGCTCCCTCTCTCTCTTACTCGTCTTACTAACCCCACAAATTAGAAATCGAGCTGCCCAAAAATAAGGAAGAACAGGAGCAACAGCCCAGAACTCAGAACTACGGTGCCCCTTTTTGTGGCACACCCCCTATACCCCGACAAGCCCCACATCAGTGTGCCAGGTGACCGCAGAGCTGCGCAAACGTGTCGTTAAAGCCGATGTAGGCGGCCTGGGGGTTGAGAACTTAGGGGGGGTTTGGGTTTAGGGTTTAGGGTTTAGGGTTTAGGGTTTAGGGTTTAGGGTTTAGGGTTTTTAGGGTTTAGGGTTTAGGGCTTAGGGCTTAGGGCTTAGGGTTTAGGGCTTAGGTTTAGGGTTTAGGGCCTCGGGTTTCGGTTTAGGGTTTAGGTTCTTGAGTTGAAGGCTTCTGAAACCTAGATCTGGGCATGAGAAGCTCCTTGGTTACAAGTGGGTCTCAGAAAGTCCGCAAAGGAGTTCGGATCCGCAAATGGCTGGGAGCCCCCAGCCAACAGCAGCCACAGCTCCGGCGAGTGAATCAGTGGGGTGTCCTCCCATGCAAACACCCATAAAGACTATGTCGCGCGCGCGCACGTGCTAGGGTTTAGGGTTTAGTGTTTCCTGAAGTGGCTCTCCTGCTGGCCTCCCTCAACCCTTGGAACACAGGCCGGCAAACGGCAAGTTGCACAACAGCCCAGCAGGGTCATGTCTGAGATTGACCCTCCTTGGGGGGGTGGCCCGAAGCAAACAGGAACATCCTACCATGTGCTGGTGGATGCCCAAGCAAGCGGCCTAGTTCAGATCAACCCTTTGCGATGGGCTTCCTCAAGCCTCAAACCCCAAGCCTCAACTCCTCAACCCTCATGCCACCCTAAATCATGCCACCCTAAACCCTAAACCCTAAACCCTAAACCCTAAACCCTAAACCCTAAACCCTAAACCCTAAACCCTAAACTGCCCAGAGGAGAAGCTCCAGAATCAAATTGGAGGGTAGGATGGCTGCGGCGGCGAGTAAGAACCAGATGGGCACGTTGACCTGCGGGAGAAGGGGGTTTAGGGTTTAGGGTTTGGGGTTTAGGGTTTAGGGTTTGGGGTTTGGGGTTTAGGGTTTAGGGTTTGGGGTTTGGGGTTTGGGGTTTGGGGTTTAGGGTTTGGGGTTTAGGGACGGGTTTACTCTTCCCATCATAGGGCCGAACCTGCAGGAACTCCGAATCACAAGCGTTATCCAGACCAGGCATTAACAGGGTCTCACGGTGTGATGGGTGCGTGGGAAAAGGTGAATTTTGGGTGTTAAAGGGGCGATAAAAGAAGTATACTATACGCGCCCCTTTCCCGATTAGAAAATATTGAAGGCACGTATAGAAATCCAATATTAAACTTACGGGCAAGTTCACGCGCGCTGTAATGATTTTAATATTGGCTTTGTAAAGGGTGAAAGACAGATCTCACAACGACCTCCTCATTCAGTACTACATGAACTAGAAGCACAAGCACACGGCATCGGCGTTAGGAGCTCTCACTGTTTAGCAGGGGTAGAAGTATGGTAACTAAACTTATGACCCTGTCTAGGGTACTCGTAACCCTACTTATAAGTGCCCAGGAACCTCCAAGTAAGTGTGCATGAGGTTTTTGTCTTAAGGCTTAGGACTTGGAGCTTAAAGTTTGTGTATGTCACTCGCCTAGGTGCGTCACGCACTACGGGGCGAGCTGTAAGGGAACAACTGCTCTCACTCAGAGCTTGAGGTGGGTTTAGGGTTTAGGGATAAGGGTTTAGGGTTTAGGGGGTCTCGGGTTTGGAGTTATTCTTCTAGCGGCGCTGGCGGTCCAAGCCCGCGACCAGCATGTCCGCCAGCAGATGCGACAGGGGATGGTAGAGGCCGTTCTTGACCTGCGCTCTTCTTGCTCGTCCCGATTGGGGAGTTTGGCCTGCAACGACTCTGCCAAAAACCCTAAACCCTACACCCTAAACCCTACACCCTAAACCCTAAACCCTCCCGATCACCAAAGAGTCACCCTGACCCCCTAAACCTTTCTTCAGCCAGATAATTTGTGGAGGGGGGGCCCCCACTTCCCGAATTTTGGGTGTGTTACCCTGCATCCCTTTAAGGAATACACACAGAGGCACCGAAGTTCCGTGAGCCCCTACGAGGAGCCAGTAAGCCAGCACCCCTTGACTAAAGAAGATTCGCCCCCGAACCCTTCTTTGAAGCTGTAGTGCTTCTTGTTTTGCTCCGTAGACGTGGCCTTGTCACCAAAACAATTTAACATTCGCCCCCCCCCCCCCCCCCCCCCCGCCAGGCAACAAAAAATAGAAAATGAAGCACAGGTGCCCCCTTTTGAGCGACTGGACTGCCCCCAAGCCAGAACCTCACAAAAACCCCCAAAACCCCAAACCCAAAAACCCTAGAACCCTAAAAACCCGAAAAACAGAACAACCCCCACAAGCCCCGAAGCCTTGAACCCTGAAAACCCTAAAACCCCGAAAAACCCTAAAACACTAAACCCTAGAGCCCGAAAAACCCTAAAACCCCTAGAATCCTAAAACCCTCCTCCCCCCCCCCCTCCCTCCCACCCAAAAACAAGCAAAACAACCCTACAAGCCCTAAAACCCAGAAACCCAAAAACAACAAAATACCCGAAAAACCCTAAAGTCCTAGAACCCGAAAAAACACGGAATACAAATGCCCTTAAAAACCCTAAAGCTCTGCAACCCGAAACCCCATTAACCCCTTATAAAAAACCCTACTAAACACCCTAAATCCCTAAACCCCCAAAACCCTAAAACTCTAAACCTGAATCCTGGGGGTTGTTACGAGAAGTCGTTAACTCAGGGACGCCTCGGACCCGGAGCTTGGGGAAGTCGGGGTGAACTTCTCTTTGCTGTCGGACGGGTTTCGGGTTTCGGGTTTCGGCCGGGGGGAGGTGAGAAAGTTGGGATTTAAGACTGCGGGTTTGGAGCAAAATACCCTAAACCCTAGACCCTAGACCCTAAACCCTAAACCCTAAGCCCTAAGCCCTAAGCCCTAAACCCTAAACCCGCCAGCTGCCAGAGTCTTCTTTTTCTGGCCCTCCTCTGTCAGCATGGACTGGGTTTCAGCCCTTCTTGCCCCGCACGTCAGGCAAGGCGGATTTCTCAACGCAGGTGCTCCTTTTCCAGCGGTTCCAGCAGCCAAAGATTGGAAGTGCTTAGGGTTTAGGGTTTAGGGTTGTGATGATGGGCGCATTGGGAGTTCTAGTCCTGAGCACGCTGCTGAGTTTTCTGTTGGGTGGTGCTACCTTGTCAGCTTCTTCGATGCCGAGATCTGTCAGCCCAGCTGGACTTCTTAAACCCTAAACCCTAAACCCTAAGTCTCGCTTGGAAAAGTGCCACATGCCAGCAAATGAACTTCGTTCAAAGCTCACCTGCTACTGAGCCGAATTCGTGCAAGGACGAAGCAGCAGTTCCACTATCACAACACGGCTGGTGCTGCAAGAGCTACATGGTAAACGTACCGCCTGAGCACCCTGGACCCGTGGCTTCCTCGAAGGGGTCTACACCTGAGCCCCTAACCTCTAAACCGGCTTTTTTGTTGCGTGTTTAGGGTTCAGGGTTTTAGGGTTTAGGGTTTGGGGTTTCGGGTTTTAGGGTAACCAAAACAGCACACAATTGTTGAGGGCTATTTATATGTTTTTGGCGGGTTTTGGGGTTTAGGGTAACCAAAACAGCACACAATTGTTGAGGGCTATTTACATGTTTTTGGCGGGTTTCGGGTTTTAGGGTAACCAAAACAGCACACAATTGTTGAGGGCTATTTATATGTTTTTGGCGGGTTTTGGGGTTTAGGGTAACCAAAACAGCACACAATTGTTGAGGGCTATTTACATGTTTTTGGCGGGTTTTGGGGTTTAGGGTAACCAAAACAAAACACACACAACTCTTGAGGGGACTGAGGGATTAGGACCGGGTCATGAGGCTTCTGGCACGGTTGAAGCTTCGGGGACTCCGGCTAAGGGCTGAGGTTTTCGGCTGGCTTCCAGGGTTTCGGGTTTTGAGGGTTTGGTTTAGGGTTTAGGGTTTGGGGTTTAATAGGCTTCATAGGGTTTAGGGGTTTAGGGTTTAAGGATTAGGGTTTAGGGTGTAGGGTTGTAGGGCTTACGCTTTCCCATGGCTGCTGAAAGCAGCGTTCACAAGACTGTGGCTAGACTGCTGCAATGGGCTGCACGGTTGAACTATGGGCGTTGCAACGGCAGCCACAGTGATACAAACAGCGGCAGCACGCACATGTGCTGCCAGCGCCAGCTGGCCGGACTACGCACCTAAACCCTGAAACCTAAACTCTAAAAGCCAAACCCTCTCCCGGCGGTGCTTTCAAGTCTGACCCTCCCCCTTCCGCAGAATGCTTTGCATTGCCTATAGGGGCTTCGGGTTTAGGGTGCAGGCGTTTAGGGTACGACTCTTGTAAGTACCTATAGTAAAAAAGCCCGAACCAAACACCCATGGGCGGAGGCTCCCTCTTCTTTGGGCTTTGGCGGTTGCGACTCTCACAACTACGACTCCGACATGAGACCCCCGCAACTTTCATCCAAAGAGTCCTAAACCCCAAGCCCCAAACCCTAAACCCTAAACCGTAATCCCTACACCCTAAACCCTGAGCTGGCTCTTACCCTCAACCCTAGACATTCACAACGCCGGCCCCTGGTGCGTGATTGCCTCTCACGCGCCGCATTTTCTCTCCCTAGGTGCCCTGGTCGGCGTTGGGGTCCTGAAGACGAAGACTCTTTAGGGTTTAGGGTTTAGGGTTTGGGGCTTAGGGATTAGGGCTTGGGGCTTAGAGCGTAGGCGTTAGATCTCAAGGATTTAGGGCTTGGAATGAAGGCGCTCAGGAGGGTTGGGCTTTGAGGGCGGTTGGGGGTGATGCAGAAATTTCGGGGGCCTGAGGGTGCTCGGATCCCAAGTTCTGGGTTCAGGGTTTCGGGTTTAATCGCTCACACTCGGACAAGCCAGGTGAGGTACACAGTGTCCCATGGTCCTGACACAGGCCCCCTCAGCACACAACCAGCACAGCACTCCTACCACTTCCACCACCCCAGAGCCTCCTGACGACGTTCTGTAGCTTCCCTCAGGTCGCAAGTAGAAGCCTGCGCTCACGCACGCCTCTTCGACCATCGAGTCAACTATGGAGGTGTCAGGAGATGGTTGTTCACAGCCATCTCTAACGACAGGGCGGCCCGTAGTGCGGACCTACGTGTGAGAGATGCAGCCAAGTGCCTCCTAAAACCAGTGCACTCATGCGTGGCCCAAGAGACACTCTTCCGAGTCCCGAGACCAACCGAACCGTGCCGCCACTGGCTTGACCTGAGCACTACGGGCCAGGTGGGCACGAGCGCATAGTTTCAACATCCCCATCACCTTGGCACGACACTCGGCAGTCAGGACACTACCAAGTTAGGTGCATGGTGATGCAGCTCCACAGCTACATCGGAACCAATTAGGGGATCGATTCGGAAGGAAGGTGCCGGATCAGCCCTCGAGAAGCGATGTGGTTGTTCGACTAGCGCCCTGACGATCCTCCGTCTACCCTTGTAGACCTGGAACCTCAGCCGTGGCTTGGACTTCTGTGGATCAGGGAGCATGGAGACGAAGGACCTCATCGCAACTTCAGCTGGTACATGGTCTGCTGGCTCAGGGTAGGAGTGCTTCCAAGCTTGTCGAACGATGTCGAACGAAGCCTCTTCCTTCCCAAGACAAGTAGCTCCAGAGGGTGAGACGAGATCTCCCTTTCCTAGAGCTAGCTCCTTCGCCCACCCTCCGAGCTCCTTCATCTTGTCCTTGAGTTCACCAGTACTGGAAGCAGCCTGACAAGCCTCGTAGATGCATCTAGTCACCAAGCGTTGGTGCTTGGGTAGACGGGTCTCGATGTAGAGCCCCAGGTTTGTTGTGACATCAGGGCGGAAGTGCTCCCTGGTTTTCCACTTGGACTTGGGAAGAGGGCGCGCCGCGGTGGACGGTGCCCCTTCAGCTGTGGGTCCAACCATCTTGAAGTCCAGGGCTCTTGGTCGACTGGAGGGTCAGCAGTCTTGTTGAGTCGCGAGATGAGTTGGTTCATGGAGTTGGGGTGGAGGTAGCGTGCCATGAAGAGGTGCTTGCGTAAGTTGGGTGGCTGAAGTGGGATGGTGTTGTGACGTAGAGGGCGCTGACCCTCAGGGCCCCCCTGTCATTCCGGAGGACCCCGCTGGCGCAGCTGGCTTCAAGAGCCTGGACAGCTTAGTCTGTTTGGAGGGGCAGCCTCGTGCAGCCTAGAAGGAAGGGCAAGGTGAGAAGGCATGATCGAGCTCGTCAAGTAGACAAGCGGTTGGCCACTTCCATCGCGACGCACAACGTAGCCACCCAAGCCTTGGACTGGCCTGCGACCCGGGACCCTCCTTGGAAAGGTGGGGACGATGGTGTCTTGTCGAGCGAGGCCCCAGTAGGGTCTGGTGTCACTACACCAGCAGCGGGGCTGTGACCCCGCTGGTGGCAACTCCTTGACAGCACAGGCTGAGTAGACCCATGCTGGCCATCGCTCACCATGGGCGGTGCATCCAGTGCAATCAGTGACGAGGAGCTTCTGTCCGTTGTTCGGCCAGATGATCCTCTCCCCTGTGGCATGGAGCGAAGGGGGCGCCGGCCACCACGGCTCCTGGTAGTCGCCTGACTCCCTTGTTGGGCCGTCTGATTCTGAGCGCTGTTCCTCAACCAGAAGCAACTGAACCCACATGGTTCTGAGTCCTGGCCAAGCTTCGAGGAAGTCGTCCAACATGCGTGGTCCTGGATCGCACCCTTGGTGTTGATCGTGTCCTTGAGAGGTGCTCCTCCCAATTCACTGGCTCCTGCTCCAGAGTTCGCCCATGAGGGCGCCTCGTCCTTGT